CCCCCCCCCCCCTCCCCCAAGCTGTCTTCTTCCTTTCAATGATCCAGGGAAAAAAATTACATATAAAACCAGGTCCTTTGCCAGGACATACCAAGTGGGGAGGACGGAGGTGGATGTGTTTGGCTTTTGAAGGTCAAGGGGACACAGGGGTTTCTAATCACAGCCCCCTCACCCTGTCACGGGACTCACACAGATGTCCACGAAAGCCGGAAGCCGCCATATGCAAGTCCCTGCAGGCTTTGTGTGTATCACATTAGACACGGCAGCTCTGAACATTCGGGTGGTTGGTTCCTACAGGGGCAGAGAAGGCTGCAGAACTCGACAGCCCCAGCCCGTGCTTGCATGGGAGCGTGCAGCCGGGGGCGGTGGCCGAGGTCACTGGACGCTGGGGGTAGGGAAGGGACAGTGTGAAGGCAGGGCGAAGGCTACTGCGGCGAGGAAGGGGATGCTATCCCAAAACCACCCGGGACGCCTGCTGCAGCAGAGCGCTTTCACCTCACCATTCCCAGTGGCTGCCGGTTGGATACTGCTTACACGCTGCTGCAGTGCCGCTCCAGGCCCCAGGGGCCTTAATAGACCTACGGACCGAACCAAAGATGGCAGCCAACCGAATGCCTTTTGTGTGCATTTTTACATCGGTAGCAGTGTGACGCACCAGCTGAATGGGAAGGAGCGCCATACCGGGCAAAAGACCAGTATGCACAGGAAGTGCAGTGCGCAGGGAGCTGAGGCTCATCACGGTGGCTGCGGCCATGGGGACACTCGCTGCCGTCACGCTGCACCGCCTGGGCATTACCTCACCTCAGGTGGATGTGGCCGTCCAGCGGGGACGCTGCGCCAGCAGCGGGCACAGAAAGGCTAAGCAGAGGGGACCCTGTCAGCCCTCGTTAACCATCCAATTATAATGGCGGTGGCATTTCCCTGGCATGCCCGCCGCAGGGGCAAGGGGACCTGACAGGCATCATGGGGGGTCGGGGGGGGGGGGGACACTGTTATACTGGGGCAGCACACACACTCACACACACATGCACATACGCAGACATACACACAGAAACACAGACACATACACAGACACAGTCATACAGAGACAGGTGCGCATACACAAACACACACTCACACACATAGACAGACACACACTCTTTGATAGTAATATTTAACATTAATGAATATGTGACCCCACCCACACACAGAATCACATACCATAAATTTAGTGAAATTAGTTCTGTCTGCATGTGGGATTAAAGGAAACACAAAAATACCAAAAGCACATAGCAGCAATTCCCAACCTCTAAGCCTTGGGCACCGGAGGGCAGCACCGAGCTGGACAGAGCCGAAAACCATGGCAACCTGGCTCGACGCCGTGAGGCCGCCCCAGGGGGACGGAAGCCAGCAGAAAGTTCTGTGCAGTGAGTCGTAGCAGTACAGGGAGCGAGTTGGCTTGAGCCCTGTCACAGCACCGCATGTGCAGCCTTGCTACCACTGTTGGGGTAGCGGATTCCCCATCCCACAACGTCACAGTGGGGTTCCATAATTAAAGATGCGGTAAAGGCCTTGCAGAGCAGAATGCGGCAGCCGGTGACAGAACGGCCTGAGCCACAGTAACAACGGAACTGGGGTATGAGGGAATCGGGGAATGGAGGAACAGAGGAATAAAGGAACAGGGGAACAAAGGAACAGGGAAACAAGGGAATGGGGGAACGAGAGAACTGAGGGAACAAGGGAAGAGGGGAATGAGGGAACTGGGGGAAAATGGGAATGAGGGAACTGGGGGGAAAGGGGAATGAGGGAACTGGGGGGAAAGGGGAATGAAGGAATGGGGGGAAAGGGGAATGAGGAGATGGGGGCACCGGGGAATGGGAGAACAAGGGAACTAGGGGAGTATGGGAATGGGGGAACTGGGGGAACAAGGGAACTGAGGGAATGGGGGAATGGTGGAACATGGGAACAGGGAAATGGGAGAGCAGTAGAATGGGGGAACTGGGGGAGCAAGGGAACTGGGAAAATAGGGGAATGGTGGAACAATGAAACTGCGGGATCGAGGGAACAGGGGGAAAAAGGGAATGGGGGAATTGGGGAATGGTGGAACATGGGAACCTGGGAACAGGGCAATGGGAGAGCTGGGAAACAGGGCAACAATGAACAAGGGAACAGGGGAATGGGGGAACTAAGCAATGAGGAAAAAGGGGAATGAGCAAAATGGGGGAACAATGGAAGAGGGCAAAAAGGGAACAGGGAAATGCGGTTGCAGGGGAACAAAAATGTATTCGTGAGGGGTAAGGTGAGAAATACAGCAAAACTGGGGGGGGGGGTTGGCTGTTTCCCTCACCGCAGAAGCCCCTCAAATCCTTCAACACTTACCTTCATTTAACACAGCACCAACCAGGAACCCATCGTACTTCAGCACTGTCATTTTCTGACTGGATCGATAGCATAAACAGCAGCAGCTATGAGCAACTGATGCTGGCAGATAATGAAAAGCTACAGGAACACAGGAGCCCACTGAGGGAGGGGGGTTAGGGAGCAGAGCAGTTTGACACGGCTGGTTGTAAAAATGCCCGCATCCAGGTTCAGGCAGCGCTTGCTGGGTGGCCTCTTATTAAGCCTCTGGGATGAATGACGATGGGAGCTGAGTATGCAGCCTCATCGAAATGCCACAGTGCTGTGCATTGTGGTTAACTAACACTCTGTGTGCTCTCCCCAGGGTCGTCTCTTGAGCACAGCCACCTGAACAGTGCCGCCCTTTCCCCGCTGTACCCACCCCTTTCCCTCACGCACCCCAACAGCCACTTCAACTCTTCAAACCTGGGCTTCAGCAAGCACACATCACTCAAGCTCACAGGTAAGTGCACAGCAGCATGCGGAGCAGGTGCATGCATGGGCACTTTCAGTAGCACCAGGTCCCCCAGCCCAGCTGCGGTCCAGAATCACACCTTACCCCATGCCGCCACAGATGCACACACACCCAGAGAAGAACGGGCAGGACCCATCACACACTCAGAAACGCCCATGGACTGCAATCTGAAACAGTACTTGGGAAATGCAGTAGGACAGTGTGCAGGCAGGCATGCAGTAGCACAGCGTGTAGACAGGCATGCAGCACGGCAATGTGCAGACAGGCTTTCAGCAGGGTGGCGTGCAGACGGGCCTGCAGCAGGACAGTGTGCAGGCAGGCATGCAGTAGCACAGCGTGCAGACAGGCATGCAATAGCACAGACAGGCGACAGGGCAGCATGCAGACATGCCTCCAGTAGGACAGTATGCAGACAGGCAGGCAGTAGCATAGCGTCTTGACAGGCATGCGGCAGGGTGTTTACTGCCTGGTAGGGGGACTGGGGTGCCATTTATACACAATCACAGAGCCTGTGACTCCCCCTTGGGTGTCAATCTGATATCGCTTCATTAAGGGAAACCAGCAAATTGAAACACCCCCTTGGGATCACCCCTCACCCCAGTAGGGAAATTAGTTATGCCCTGGGACGCCCCCCCCCCCCCCATTGTGCAGCCAAAGTCGATCAGAGGACACAGTCAGGGCTTTTGGACAGAGCGAATCATGCTTCAGTAGGAGTGGCAGCAAGTGCTGGATCAGTACAGCTCTAATCACACCTTAATTAAACACAAATGACCTGCGTGACCCAATGGAGGGCAGAGACAGGAACCTATAGAAAGGGGGAGAGGCGGTTCAGACCATCTCCGTCAGTCAGTGACGACACAGCAGCTTCCTGCCAGGGGCTGGTATGGGAGCGGCATGAACGTAAATCGATCTCCCCATCAGTCTCCTTCATTGTTCCAAGGAGAAACTGGCAGCATCTGTGGCAGACAGAACTCAGAACAGCCTCAGGCGTGATCAAGTTAGAACCAAAACCTGCAGAGGCCCCTGTTCTCAGAATGATTACAAAAACTAACTGGGTAAAACAAGCAGCTACTCTCTGCTTATGGGTGGCAGGTGAGAGAAATGCCCCACACCACTGAAAGAAACTCTGGATTCTATACAGGAAACAGACACCGAGACAATTCTGCTATGTGCATGGGTTCACAGTTCAGTGCAATTTTGGCACACCAGTGAAACAGAATTTATTTAGAATGTTTTAATTATTAAAACTGCAAACAATACTGGGAAGTTTCAAACCCAGGATTTAAAAAATTGCATGCTTTTTCAGTAGTAAGGGTGAGTGATGGTAAAAATTGTCATGGGGGAGTACACTACTGGCCAAAGTTGTAGAAACACTTCCACTTTTTAGAGATTGCAGAATCTTACTTGTAACACGGTCAAAAGTCAACTGCAATCTCCATTCCAATCGCTGTCACTAAGATGCATGGCTTTCATTTTGGGGCAATCTGTTGATCAGTTCCAATTGTTCGCCTACACAATAATTAAACAGGATCAAGTGACCAAACTGCTGTTTTCTCTGTGAACACTATGTGGCATTGCTACAAATTTGGTGTGATCTGTCGCAAAATTTGATCAAATTTTATCAGACAACGTGTTTATAAAATTTGAAAAAGATCCAGCAAATACTTTTTGAGCTATCATATTAACGATAGAGCATCTGCGTTGGCAGACAGGTCCCAAAACTGTAGAAATTTCCTGACTGGGGAATGCAATGATCAAGACAAAAAATTTAAAAATAATAAATACAAAATCACGTTGGGCCCTTCAGGAGCTGCACATGTTGCCCTAGATGGGGTAGTGATGCCCTAGATGGTCCTTCTTCACAGTCAGGTACCTTGGGTCACTGTCTGAAACCTTGTATTAATGGATGGGGATTGGCCCTGGTGCTGGTGGCCCTGAATTAGAGTCACCCAGGCAGTTATTCATCTTATTGCTGACAGGATCGGTTACTAGCCCCAACGAGACGGCAATACGGCTGCCCACCTCAACTACTCATGTTCAAAATGTTGAACAACTTCACACACACTTTGCGTTCTGTTCACACTTGGCATCCTTAGCCTGGTAGTCCAATCAGGTGAAAAGTTGCACTTCCCTATTGTGAGCATTGTAAATTGCAAGGTCGCCCACGGTCACACACCCCACGGACACACCCCCGCTCTTCGGTTTGGGACGTTGCTTTGCAGTGTACGCAATTTGCACATTCTGGCACTGAGCCACCTCCCATGTTTTTTGTGTAATACACAGAAGGCCATTATTTTGGACATATTCTGGAGATACCAAAATATTCCCAAAATTTTTGCATACTAATCCAGACCACAAAAACAACAAAGCAGAGTTTACGCACTTAAGCATAATTGTAGGAACCTTGTACACCAAATGTGTCTAAATAACAAACCCAAAGAGCTGCTCATTTGTACACTGAAAATAAATATGTAATATGACTATTATATGTAAAAAATAAACAAGAACTCAAAAAACAAGACTGCACAACACGGTGATTAGCACTGTTGCCACACACCATTGGGACCAGGGTTCGAGTCTAAGGCTACGTTCACACTGCAGGACTTAATGCTCAATTCTGATTTTCTGCTCAGATCGGATTTTTTCTTTGCCTGTTCACATTACTCTTTTTAATGTGGGCAATATCGGATTTCAATGTGAACGGTTCACTATACTGAACTGGCCCGTGTGCGACACAAAACAACAGACGCAATGACGCATGCGCATGCGCAAAAACAAAGACGTCGCTTTATTGATTCGAAAACTGCCTGGTTACGATATGGGCCTTCTAGTTTTGCCTGAATATTTTTCTCGTACACACTCATAATAAACAATGAGTTTGTAAATGTTTGTTGAATAAACACAACAAACATTTACAAAATCATAAACACCAATCATAAAGACCAAGCCTAATCTAATTAATTAAATTAATGAATCTAGGCAGCTAATTAAACCCTCACATTACAGTATATTGAAGTTGATTCAAAGCTTTAAGCATGAAGTAATGTTGTCTGAATTCCTCTTAATGAGCTATGTAGATGCTAAAGAGGGTATTCTAATGGAGCACAGGGATTCATGCAGCCCCCATGTTTGTATCATTTTGATGTGACCCTCTGTGTTGGTTGTTGTTTTGCCCTCTTGAACGCTGTTTTGAGAACGTTCGTTCTGTGTAACAGAAGGGAGCATAATGAATTGCCATGACATCCACCAGGACTATTTCAGAGGTCTCACATGTTAAATGTGGCTCATTTCTCTAATATGTAGAATAATTTAGTAGAGGTTGATCTTTTCACCATACTAATGAAATTACCAGGGCTTCATATCAGTAGCTAATGGCTTGTGGCTATTGCCTACATAGCGTAAGTGTAGGTTACTACGGTCAACATGAGGGTTTTGAGAAACACCATGTTTCTAAGACGAATGGCTTTAAAGTCTAACAGACTGTGTCTCCCACACCCAGAGCCTTGACGGGCCCATGGTTGTTTGCAACTGTTACATTTTTCTCTTACAGCATGTTGGAGCACTTGGATGGGAAGAGCTATGCACTTAATATGACATGCATAGCCTGCTTACATGCAGTGGAAAACTAATGACTGGTTCTCCACATATATGTTTACCACACAGACTTCAAGCAAGGGGTAGCTTTGCAAAAATAATAAAACAACAGTATAATTCAGCATGTACACTAAAACATACATAGGTACAAAGACGCTGTCTCAAAGACGATCTATATCAGCAGGAGCAGGGCTCGTGGCTAATTTAAGCGAGACATGGAGCAGACAGTGCGCAATGCTTTCATGCTGCTATTTTTATGCACTGCAAGTGTGTGGCCACCTCTCATTAGGAAGGTAATACAGTGTAATATGTTATAAATACCTGCTTAACTCCTGCTGTTATCAATACCGCAGGTGTGTTTTGGATCATGTATGAACGTGTGCCACTGCCAGAGCTTTTAGCCAATGAAATGTCAGTAAGCAGGACGCACAGGGTCCTGTTGCGTCGGGATGCCTTCAGGGGCACTCGGAAATTACAGTTTTCCGCTCAAATCTTTGCCCGATCTCGTCATTGGTATACTTTAATGTTTACCATTTCCAGCGGGGTGGCACTGGGGGTGGCAAGGGCTCTGTTGGGGGTGGCACCCTCTTGGCTCTGCCCCTGTGTAAAAGTCGCATGAATTACGATTTCGCTGTTCAGACTGAGGTGGCATTGCAAAAAATCAGACCTGTATCCGATGTATGACCACATACTGAAGTGGCCCAAATCGGAATTGATAAAATCGGATTTGTGCCACATTTGTCCTGCAGTGTGAAGTCATGGATCCATATGTGTAGCGTCTGCATGTTGTTATCATGGGGATTCCTCTGGGTATTCTGGTTTCTACAGATATCCCATGGATACTCAAAACATACCTGATTGTACATATGATGCAAAAGAAAACGTGACTCATCAGCCGTCTAGCGTTGCTCCAAGTTCCAGTTCCAATGCTTGCATGCCCATTGTAGGCACTTTTGACAGTGGACAGGGGTCAGCATGGGCACTCTGACTGGCCTGTGGCTACGCAGCCCCATATGCAACAGGGCTTGATGCCCTGTGTGTTGTGATATGTTACTCCCATAGTTATCATGAAATTTTTCTGCCATTTTTGCTGCAATAGCCCTTCAATTGGTTTATACCAGATGTGATAGCCCTTAGTTCACATCCCGCATCAATGAGTCCTGGTGACCCAACACCCTTTCAGCATTTTGTGGTTTTTCCTTCCTAGGACTGCTCTCAGTAGGTGGTCACCACAAGCTTTGGCATTTCGGAGATTCTCTGACTCAATCATGTATCAAAATTGTATGACTCTGTGCCATGCACCATTATCTATGGTTTGCATACTTCCAAAACTATAAAGTGAGTTCTTACTAGGAATGACAGATTTCATCTTCAACTGACGTGAATGAATAATTTTCTGTGTAATGAGATGCACGTGCCTGTTACTCGGTGATGTGTTCAGACACCACATGCTATGGAAGGTCTACTTACTGGTGTAATCTTAGCCAGCACATATTTTTACTTTGCACTGAGACTAATCGCTAACAGGGGACTTTTTAAGTGGCGTGAAGATTCTGCAGTATACATGCTTCTTACTGGTCTCCAGGGGTATTGGTGCCCTGGAGCAAAACAATTTCCAGCCGCCTAAGGATCTGAAAACATTCATTTTGGTACGGACCAAACTCACTATGGGGTAGAGGTTTTTTTTATAGCAGTAACAGAGAGGGGAAAATGAGGAAATATAAAGATTAGATGATAGATAATGTAAGTGATGATCACAGCTGCCATACCATGTTATTTTAAACCCACCAGGAATAAATTACATAGAGCTTTAATGAAGCAACATATTTCCCCTATATAAGGCATATTATGAGGAGACACATTTATTACTGGTGATAAAAGAGGAACAGTTCACAGATTACTCGGCTTTATTAAGAATGTGTCTGATCTGGCCTCGAGTGCTGTTAATAGGCACTACACACATGCTATGTGTTAATGGCCGCCTGCAGCTGTACGTCTGTACACGCCCTTGGCATTTAGACTTATTCATTGGATAATCTTACATGCATTTTTTTTTGCCTTTTTTTGTCTGCAACAGAAACATAAAAATAGTAGGGCTGCATGATTCTGGGTTAAATATAAATCACAAGATTCTCTCACGATTCTTGAGCGATACATTTCTCTTTATTATTATTTTTCATTACACGTTGCCTTTATGAAGACGGAACAAACGATATTCTGTATATAAATAGAATGTATATTGTTGTAATCTGAATAGCAGTTGAAATTTTGCACTCCAGGATATTGCACAATGAGGCCCAGGTTACTGTTAATGTAATTGAAAATATACACTATATTGCCAAAAGTACTGGGACACCTGCCTTTACACAGACATGAACTTTAATGACATCCCATTCTTAATACATAGGCTTTAATATGGAGCTGACCCATTTGCAACTACTGTATAACAGCTTCAACTCTTCTGGGAAGGCTGTCCACAAGGTCAAGGAGTGTGTTTATTGGAATTTTTGACCACTCTTCCAGGAGAGCATTTGTGAGGTCAGGCACTGATGTTGGACTAGAAGGCCTGGCTCGCAGTCTCCGTTCCAACTCATCCCAAAGGTTCTATCGGGTTGAGGTCAGGGCTCTGTGCAGGCCAGTCAAGTTCCTCCACACTAGACTCACTCATCCATGTCCCTATGGACCTTGCTTTGTGCATTCATGTTGGAACAGGAAGGGGCCATCCCCAAACTGTTCCCACAAAGTTGGGAGCATGAAATTGTCCAAAATGGCTTTGCATGCTGATGCATTAAGAGTTAATTTCACTGGAACTAAGGGGCCAAGCCCAACCCCTGAAAAACAAACCCCACACCATAATCCCCCCCCACCAAACATTACACTTGGCACAATGCAGTCAGGCAAGTACCGTTTTCCTGGCAACCGGCAAACCCAGACTCATCCATCGGACTGCCAGACAGAGAAGCGTGATTCGTCACTCCAGAGAGCACGTCTACAATGCTCTAGAGTCGAGTGGTGGCGTGCTTTACACCTTTGGATCCGATGCATTGCATTGCACTTGAAGATGTAACACTTGGATGCAACTCCTTGGCCATGGAAACCCATTCTATGAAGTTCTCCACGCACTGTTCTTGAGCTAATCTGAAGGCCACACAAAGTTTGCAGGTCTGTACCTACTGACTCTGCAGACAATTAGCGACTTAAACACACTGTGCACCTCAGCATGCCTTGTCCCCGCTCTGTGATTTTACGTGGCCTACCACTTTGAGGCTGAGTTGCTGTTGTTCCCGGTTGCTTCCACTTTGTTATAATACCACTAACAGTTGACCGTGGAATATTTAGTAGTGAGGAAATTTCACGAATGGACTTATTGCACAGGTGGCATCCTATCACGGTACCACGCTTGAATTCACTGAGCTCCTAAGAGCGACCCATTCTTTCGCAAATGTTTCTAGAAGCAGTGTGCATGCCTGTAGTCGGTGCTTGATTTTATACACCTGTGGTTATTGGAACACCTGAATTCAATGATTTGTCCCAAAACTTTTGGCAATATGGTGTATATACAAATAGAAACATAGATGTAAATATGTAAAGATACACAATAAATTGGTTAACACCAGATAGAAAGACACAGAATCTCAGCAGAAATTCAGGAGAATCTCACCTAAGGTGCCAGGACAGCCAGGGGCAGCCCTGCACTGGCAAGTTTTACAGAGGATAGTAGACAGAAATATATTGGTTATTGCACAAATGCTCTGATGCGGAAATATGGAGATGCAAGAAAAAAAAACATATTCATTAATGTATTTACTGTAAGTAAGATACAAAAGTAATTCCATCAGCTCATTTTTTGCTCGTATCCCTGCACTTCCAAGTTAGCGCCAGTGCTTGTGGTCAACCATCCAGCTAGTGATAAGTGATAAGCCCCACCAAGTAGTTCCTGGTCAAAGAAAAAGTACCTACTCCAGAGCAGGGATTTAAAAACGGTTCAGGAACTCCCTCCGAGAACTATAATTGGGCTGTCTTCACAATAGGTACGCTGGTGCATATGTGTACAGGTATGGGTATGTGTGGGGAGGGGGTGGTGGTGCATAGTCTGAGATAAAATCCTGCAGGAGGCCCTGTACTGTATGTGTTTGCACACTGTCTACTGGCAGAGAGGTGCCTGTGAACTCTTAATATCTCCCCAGTGCCTAGTGTACTTATGATTAATACACAGCCCCTGCCCATCAGTCTCCCCACCCCAACACAGATTATTAGGACTATGACAAAACAGCTTGGGAAGACAAATAACAATGGCCACTAAAATTCCCAAGATGAAAAACTAAAGAGGAAAAAAACGGAGAACCAAACAAGGTTGTTAGTGTCCAAGGGCTCTGAACTGACAGCACTGACCTGTCACAGCTTGCCCTAATCTGACTCGACAAGCCGCCTTGCTCTATTTTTAAAACTCACACGTATTCTGTAGTTATCATTGCACTTAATGTTCACTGAAGAGGATATATTCCCCCACCTTAAATGGGCTCCTCCCTGTAACACTGTCACAATCGCTGTTTGTCTGTTCATGTGTTTAGTCCTACCTTACCTGACAAGGTGTCAAAGACAGCTCACTAACAGGATATTTCCAGCTGGTCTGTTCTCTTGGCATTTGTTCCAAATGTCTTTAACACGTCCTCAATGTCTTAATTTTCTAAGTACAAGTTCTATATGTATGTATATAAAAATGTCTGTGTGTGAAACCAAGACATAGAAACATATAAGGCATACAGGTAAAGAAACAATAGCTTAGCATAGAGTAAGACAGATTTTGTGCTGAGGCGTAAAAAGTAAAATGGGTGCAAAAAGGAGGCTTTTTGGCATTTTGAACTATTCATTTCTGGGACACATTTTGACAATACAAATACAACTTAAAATGAAAACATATGGCAACCAAAAAGAATAAGTAACAACAACCCTTGTTTCTGACAATAACTTCAGCTAAACACACAGAAAACATTCAGGTATAGTCATTTATATTTAAACTTGTAGAGAATGATGAACCTTCAAAACCCAAAAATACACAATACAGGGTCTTCACAACCTTTACAGGGATAAATGTTTAACAGAAGTATTGATGGATGGATGTCATGTAGGATGGCGTGGCGTTCAGTAGCTTGCACTGAGGAATTAATCCTGACCTTAACATGTTCTCTATGTTTATCACAAGGATGTGATTTATATACAGCTCTGGAAAAAAAAATGAAGAGACCACTTTATATATATATATTTTTTTAATCTGCATTTTTAAATCCTGGTTTAATCCTGGTTCTGCTGGCAGAGGCTACACTACGTGGCAAGCTGCTTCCAGGCTCTAAGTTTCTAAGACCACAGTATACAAGAACAAGGCATACATGTAAAGAAACAACAGCTTACCACAGAGCAAGACAGATTTTGTGCTGAGGAGTAAAATGTAAAATGTGTGCAAAAAGGAGGCTTTTTGGCATTTTGAACTATTCATTTCTGGGACACATTTTTACAATACAGAAACAACTTAAAATGATGATAAATGGCAACCAAAAATAGTAAGAAACAACAACACTTGTTTCTACAGGAGACACTGGCAATAACCAAAAACCAGCCAGGTAGAGGGCAGAAGCAACTTTCTAATGCCAGAGATGACCGTCAACTTATCTGGCAGTGCCTGATAAATTGAAGGATGACCTCAATGACCTTCAAAAAGAATGGGAAACATTAAGTGGTGTGAAGTGCACTGGTAGGACAAGTTCAACAGGCTCCTAGAAGCAGGACTGAAGTCCGAAATAACAAAGCAAAAGTCCTTCATCAATTAGATGCAGGGAGGAGCCAGGCTGGAGTTTAAAAAGATGTACATTTCACAGAGGCGCACACCCATAAATTGAGAAATGAGTCAAACTGAAAATTTTGCTGTGGTCTCTTAATTTGCTCCTGAGCTGTATCTCATGATTGGCAATTGTACATGTGTGTGTGTATCTATGATGGACCGATGCATCCAAGGAGTCCCCCTAATCTGCAGATGGGTGCATGTAACATTTCCTTCCTGTTTCACTTCAGATTCTGCCAGAGATTACTATAAAGGTTACCCCATGGTGGACTATGTCCACCACCAGCCCAAGCCCTCAACATTCCACCCCAAGGAGAAGAGCTATCTGCCGTCGCCTGACATCCATTCCCCACTGCCCATCACCTTTGCGGCCTCCGAGATGCCAATGTCGAAGATATCAAAGACCAATCAGCAGCCCCTCACTTCCAGCTCCGCTTTCAAGGCGTGGGACCCAAGTAGAAGCTATGAGCAGCAGCCGGTGTCGCACCAGGAGCAGTCCTATGACTGCCAGCATGTCTATTCTGGAAAGAGCCCATTCAACACCGAGACTCTGCCCGAGCTTTTCACTCAGTCCCTGGGGTATGGACAACAGATACACCTCTCCCAGAAGCTTAAGGGGGTGCCAACCAACAGCAAGACGGAGGTCACGGTCTGAACGATGGGCCCTGGAGTGTGGGAGATCGCTTCCACAAAACTGGATGCATGTTAAATGTGGTGAGGAATCAGAGACATGACTGCTTGCTTGTGATTTTTTTCCTCCCATCTCCCTCTCCCTTCCCTGTCGACCCCAACCCCCCCCCCCAACCCCCAGACTCTGCCACCTCTCTTCCCAGCTCGGTTCGTGCTCCTCCTGTAGACCACATGCGATCTGCATGTCCTATCATTATGGTTAGAGGGACATATATAGCCTCGCTCACTGAAAAAGGTCCCCTGGGATACAACATGGCTGCAGGGACAATGCACCCAGCAGCTTCAGACAAGAACAGAAGAGAGGCGCAGTTCCGGGAACCGGAAGAGAAAGGAAACATAAGTCTTTGCCAAGGTGTTTGTCCAGGAGGAACAGAATCAGAGAAAATAGGAGTGCCATCTGCTGCTTGGGCCCCAAGCAAAGCCCAGACTGCAGCAGGTTACCCACAGGACTCGAACAGCAAGGATCACATCACACGCTGGTGCTGATGAGGTCAGAGCCCCATTTGCCCCAGGGGCCCTATGGCATGGATGCCACAGCCGCTGAAGCAGCGGGGTACCGGGTGTCAGGAAGGTGTGAACTGACTGAACATGGATCATGTAGAGAGGGCTCTGGGACAGCCTGATTCACTGATGATATTCTGAACCAACTCTGATTTAGCCATCGCTTAAAGGACATTGTATGCTTTAAGCTGGGGCTCAAAGTTATACGGTGAACCGTTGACGTGTATAGAGCGGAGATCCGTAGTGGAGACTCATGACGGCTTTTCTAGAATGACCTAAAAACCAGGAAGGATTCATATCTAGTGCATGCTGATCACATTCATAAATCACAACATTAGCATAGACACTGAACTCTTGTTTAATACCAATGTTTAATACAGACACATTATTACCATGTATATGCAGGATATAGGTTACTGATGAGGCTAGAGATAAGAGAGTGAAGTTATCAGGCACATATGATGGGCTTAAGTGCTGGCAGCATTTACCTAAATCACTTACCTTTACAGCTTTATTGCTTTATGTCCCTTAAGCCCCACCCGCCGCAGACAGTTTGAATAATAGCAGGAGTTCCTTCAGTCGACCCTGAGCGATCACCCAAGCTGTTCACAGGCGTACTGCATGCTTTTGTTAGCACCAACCTGCAGTCTGGTAGCAAGGTGGGAGCGTGTTCAGGAATATCTACACCTTAGGGCTGGCAGCTGCCAGGGGGAGAACCATTCCGGTCAGGGTTGGGGGGGGGGGGGGGGCTATATAGCTTTCAAAACATTAGTCATCATTAGTGGCACATTATGTCAAGTTCTGGCAAATATTCGTAGCTATGTAGAAAAAAACATGATAATGCTCTGTCTTTGGGATTGCTGTAATAGATAATGCCATGTTAGCTCTAGGTGTTTGACAGTCTACATCTGTAGTAATCGACAATCAGCCATCACGACTCATGCTTCCATGTGGAAAGGCACTTATAAGGACAGCTCAGAGTCTACCTCGTCGCTGCCTCATGCAGGCACTGCAGATCTCCGATGCTGGTATTGACTTGGAGTAGGAGTCTCCTGTAGGGGATGCATACTGATTTATTATACGCATGTACAGAAAGCACAGCCCTGCCTGTCTCAGTATGAAAGAAAAACAAACTGGTGTGGTCACATCTTCCCATCTTCACGCATGACAGACACAAGGTTCTACAGACCATCCCAGCTGAAAAGCACCACGACACCACTTAAGGTCTTTGTTGTGCATCTTTGGCATATGGGTCATGGGGGGAATTAAGCTATATGCAATTTTCTTTAAAGAGCAATAACACCTACACTACCAAGGACACCCTGACAAACTTCATGCCTAATGCTTAAGTGACTGCACAGCTTGAAAAAGGAAGATGTCATGAGATTGGTCCTGGTAGGGCTTCTCAGTGTCTCAGCCTTGGATGGGTCCATTATGTTGTGTTTCCAGCAGGAAGTGGTGGCTCCTAGTGTCCATGGCTGACTTTTCCAACCCAAAGAGCCAGCACCATCAGTATCAGCTTATAGACTGACCAGGGGCAGGTTGCACAAAACACCTTAAGTTAAGATTTTCCTTAAAATCCGAGTTAAGGTCTCTTTAAAATAAAGTCGGTTGCACAAGACACCCTTAAGTCTCCTCCTTAAGGTTTCCTAAAAAAATTCTCTTAAGTATTTAAGTTTTTCTCCTTATCTTGGTCTTATACTTAAGGAATCCCTTAACGGTTGTACAAAAGACCTTAGCAACCAAACTAAGGGGAAAAAATTAAGGTACCTCTAACCGTACCTTAACTGCAACATGGCCGAGTTTATGATAATAAATAACGAAAATGAACGAATCCCAAAAAGAGTGTTCCGCAACCGGGAGAACCCCTTAGATACGCTTAATGATGAGCAATTGATTTTGCTTTATAAATTTGACCGGCAGTCAATTAATGATTTGTCCGATTGTCTACAGTTGGATCACTCCACAATCCGAAGCCGTGCTTTCCCAGCTGCGTTGCAATTAATGATTGCTCTGCGGTTTTATGCTACGGGCTCGTTCCAGGCTATAATAGGCGATGTATCTCATGTCCACAAGTCAACGGTGTGCCGCGTCATTCACCGAATTTCAAACGCCATTGCCCGTCTGTTGAACACCGTGGTGAAATTCC